TTCCTAATTCAAACAAGGAAGACGGCTGTTGATCCTCCTCGGAGGATCTCAGTTCAGGCTGTAGATCTAATCCCACGCGCCAAAGGGTGGATTTTTACAGCCAGGGATTGGACAAGCCTGTCGGAATCCTACCCGAGGCTTCAAGCCTTCAAAGCATTTGTTTTACCTTCCGATGGGAAGGTGATTTTATTTTGAAGGAGAAACCAGATACAGCTTGAATTTTTCTGGCTTGGACTGAAGCAAAAACACAAAGTTACCGGAGAAATAACACCTGTTTGCCAATGACCGGTGAGCGAGCCGACAACAGTTCACTGACTGATCGGAGGCGAGCCAGCTTTTCTACTCAGAAGGTGTCTTAAGAAGTCATCATCAGGTAAAAGGCTGAAGTGTTTGTGGTGACGTGTCCGGTGGAAACCGAGCTTAGAAAAGATGTGCAGTTCCGGTTGACTCACACTTTGTTAAAGTAAAAGTATTAGAAATACTAACACTACTTTCCTCCTTTTTTTGTACTTTTATTTGCCAGAAACTTAAGCTAAAGTGCCAGTAAAATTGTTTGGTTACTTAACATCAGAACTGACGTTTRACTGTTCTATCATAAGTAATTTGAGTTGATGTGGTTGAATTCCGATGCGGGTTCTTATCTCATGAATTCTGAAAGCTTAGTATAGGAAACTGACTACCCACAATCAAGTTGTAACTCATGATTTGTTTAATTTGTGTCAATAAATGATTGCATAGTCATTATGAATCAAATTGAACTCGTCTGAGTGTTCCACTTATTGTGTCATTTTCACTTCGCACAGTCGAGATATTAACGAAGAGTGAGAAACCCTTGGTAAAAATTTTCCTCATAACCTTGTGTATGAGAGATGTGGGAAAAGCTTATTTCATCCTAAGCTAGTCCTCTACACATTGGTGGCCCATACAGCCTACCATTTTTATAGCCAATATAGCCATTAGCTGTATTGGTGATTAACACAAATTTATTATAGTTTATACAAATCCCTAATATTCTAATTAACTTACTTGTTTTATATACTTTTGTCATTTAATAAATTTGTAAAAATGTATTTAAAACATTCTCTC